TCTTGAAAATGGTGTTGAAAACGTTGCATCTCCTAAGCACGTGCATCGCTGTATGTATTCAAGTCGCTTTAGAGAATTCTCAAACTCATGCTGCTCCTCAGGTGCACGCCCCACCACACTCACCACACCGCACCACGCCTCACATTTACCATTCGTCTCCTACCCCTCTCACTCAACGCCTGCCCCTCTCACCCAACGCCTGCTGCTCTCACCACGTCTCACATGCACCAATCTCTTCCTGCCCCACTCATCACGCCTACCCCTCTCTCCTGGCCCCATCTGCCCTCCAGTCGCCTTTCCCACAACTCTCTCACTGGCAGCCTCGACGTCGTCTCCTCACTTCCCAATCTGCAGGGACTGTGCGTGAAACCACTCCTGTTCTCCATCCACCCACCCATACTCTCCCACACACCTCTCTCCCTCCCCACCTCATTCATTCACATCCCTGAGCCTCCCCTCCCTCCCCAAGAAATCCTCCTTTCCTTGCTCCCAGTTGATCTCTCCACCTTCCACTCTTCCCCACCATCTTTCCCCCCCTCTCCCCGTTGCACTGCATCCATTTGCACCGCACATCACCCAGGGACCTATCCAACAACGCCATATTCGGCCCGATCGCCACCACCCTGAGGGAGCTCGTCCATGTAGAAACCCTGTGAGCCATGTGATTCATCCAATGTGCGTGAGGGGGAGTGCGATGTGCAGGTGGGTGGCCAGGCTGCCATTGCAAGGAATGCAATGCCAGTTTTGCACTGCGTTGCAAAGCCTGTGGTGCACTGCGGTGTGGGAGTGGTAGGTAGGTTCTGCGGTTGTGAGGATTTAGGGAATACTGGAGCCGCTGCTCCAATCTGCTGTTTTCTGCCAGCTGTCCCCTCATTCGGTGCCTTCTGGCGCCCTCTGCCGCTCTCTGCCGCCCACTGTTGCCCACCTGAAAGGTACAAACCATCAGGCAGCTCTCAAACAGAAACAACCTCGTCAGGCCTCTCCGCGGGGGGGATCTCCCTGTCTTTTCCTCTCTCCCTGGATTTTCCTCTCTCCCTGTCCTTTCCTCTCTCCTTGTCCTTTCCTCTCTCCCTGTCCTTTCCTCTCTGCCTGTACGTCGAGCCTAGGAACATCGAGGCCGCATCACAAGATGAGTACAAGCATACGGAAATACGCCTTCGTCTAGAGCAAGCAACCTGTATGGGACCTCCGCTTTATCAACTCCACACATGTGATATCTCACTACGCCCTTCATCTGACACCTTTCTCTCCATCCGCATGCCGAAACTGTTTTCTGAGAATTCTCAAAAAACAGAGACGAAACGTCGAAGTGGCTTTGGGCTGAACTTCTGGACTTGTAGGTCACCTGGAGCGTGATTGGAGAGACGCTGAGAATTGATGGTGCTGTCTTGATGAGAGTGTTGAGACGGCTTACCAATGAAAGCTGTCTACTTTGAAACCTGTGAGCCATACGTTCGATACATGCATTGTGAGTGAGGGAGAGTGCGATGTGCAGGTGGGTGCACTGTCCGCCACTGCAATGCAACGGCAGTGGTGCACTGCAATATGAGAGGGGCAGGTATGCTTTGTGGCTTGTGAGGGATTCAGGTCCAGTGAGGCTGCTGCGGCAGAAGCTGCTGTCTCCTGCCTGGTGTGCCAAGGCTGAACACACACTTCGTCTGTTCGTCCCCCCACTCATGACCTGTCACCCTCTCTCGCCCACACCAACGGTCCCTTCAGCGATCTCTCAAACAACAACCTGTCAGGCGTCATTCCCCCTTCCATCTCGGGCCTCAACAGCCTTACCGCTCTGTACGTGCTTCCCTCGCTATGCGCCCTCCCCTCCCCTCCCTGCATGCCTTCATTCCACTGCATGTCCCCAACTCCCTGCATAGATTAGTTTTAAATTTAAGTGGGCTTTCCTCTCTGCACGCCCACCCCCTGCTCCTTTTTAAAACAGTCCTTCCTAACAATCAACGGCGAAACATGCAGGTACGTGGCAGGGCATACAACCGAGGTGACTAGGGACCTCTAGGGCAGCTCGAGCCTGGGCTGGAGGCACGTGGTGCAGTGAATCCCCGAGCTGCAGGGTTTTGGTCATGGGCAGGGCGATCATGGGCTTGTGCTGTGCCGCCAGGGCCGCGTGCACCTCAGCGAGCAGGCGAGGGGCCAGTTCCTGCCCCTGATGTAGTGCCACCAACCACCTCTGCCAGTGCTTGATGTGCCTGGGCGCCAGGCGCATCAAGCACCCAGGCGCATGAAGGCGAGGGTCCCAGGTGCGTTGCAGCCATATGTCTCTACTGCCATGGCAAAGAAATCCACCTACCTCTGGCGGACAGGGGGGCTGCGAGCAGTGCGAAATCTCGTTGGACTGGGTTACTCCAGATGCAGCCCAAGGGTTTTCTTTCCGGTGAGCGTGTCTTGTCTGGTGACGGGTTGGTGACGGTTAAAGCCGCATAGGCAGACTTCTCCGGAGTCGGGGTGTCGTCGTATGGGCTGGAGAGGTCATTAAACACTTTGCGAGGTCGGTCGAGCTGCCCCATCGCGCTGCCTTGTCGTCCGTCCCACCGACCTCGCACCTTCTGGAGTCGTGCCAGTGCCAGCGACACCCGCCTGTTTGTGAAGGTTCGCCGCAAACATGTTAGAGTTTGCCCGTTGCTCATGTCTAGTCTATGCTGTAGGCTGTTTTTTGGGTGCGTCAAATATATATGTTTTATATATATAGCTTAGATTGTAGTGTGGTGTAGTCCCTGCTGGTAGTGTACCTCCTTCATTGAGTGCTTTCTTGTATTTCTTCCTCGCTTCTTTCAATGCAACCCCTTCTTCCTCTTGCTACATTTCCCACTTTCGCTAAACCTAACGTCCTAGATACTAAGTTCTTTCGACAGAGTCATCATTAATGTCACTTCTATCTTCATCGCTACTGGAGTTCCAGGCCTGGCTCGAGGGTCGACACGTGAAAGAAGATTGTTTCTGAGACATCTCAAGCACAATCTTCTTCCTCGTGAGTTCCAAGCCTGCCTCCAGAGTTGCACAGCAGTACCCTGGGAAAAGGGCCCAGTCCGGGCCTCCCACCGGCGGGTTTTCAAACTGGGTGGTCATGTTCAGCTTGGTGAGATCTCTCACTGCTTGCCCCCGCTGCAAAGCAACCGACAAGTGCTGACGGAACGGACCAGCAACCGACCAGCCCTGGTGGAGCAGTTTCCCTCCTCTTGCGCCCTCCTCCTTCTTCTTCCTCCATTTCCCTCGTCATTTTTTCCTCTCCTTCCTTCTTTCCCCCCTGTTCCCAATGGTTATCTGGCAGGAGGCTTGGCAGCAACGCATTGGAATCTCCAATCCCTCGAAGCTTGAGTGCTATGGAATCCTTATCATATTTGTGAGTTGTGCTCTGGTACTTGATGTGATGTTTACAGCATGCCTCAGCAAGCAGAGAGGCATGAATCATGAGGCACGTAAGCTGTAGGTGGTGCATGCAAGCCCACCGGCCTCTCTAGTGTGCGCATGCACGGGGAAACTCATGCTAGAGACACTTGCAGCATGGATGCGCATGGGAGCAGTGGTCTGTAGGGTAGATTGCGGTCGAAATTTCTCAAAGGCCCAACTGGTGCGTTGTGTTGTGAAGCGAGTGGGGAAACTTAGACAACGATTGTCCGAGGGCCCTGCAACATCCCCTTCTCCCCATCTCCTCCATCCGTTTGTATCGCCCACGTGACTCCCTCCCTTGGCAACGTCAGGGATCTGAGCAACAACAGATTTTCAGACGGCATCTCAACTTTCATCCGGGTGCAAGTGGAGCATATGTGAGCGCATGAGTGCATGCGACTGCATGAGTTACTTTTTACGAAGCTCATTAGAGCTGCGAGCGTGACATCACGTGAGCATGTGACTGCATGGGCATGTACCGGTCAACATTAGTGCGCCTGCGATGTTAACAAGTCTTGGTACCTCGCATGATGCCCACATGCACCCTCGTGCACCCACGTGCACCCTCGTGCACAATGATTGTCTGTCTGTGTGCATCCAGGTTACCACCCCGCCTCCACCCCTCCCCTCCCCCACCATCCGTCTTCCAAAACCACCTCATCTCCTCCCCTCCCTTCCCCCACCACCCATATCTTCATAGGAGGCTGAGCCACAATAACTTCACAGGCAGCATCCCTGCCTCCATCACCTCTCTCACTTCCCTCACCTACCTGTATGCCTCCTTCTCTCGCACACCTGTGCACTTCACTCACACATGCACCTGTGTGTTTCACTCAAACCAGAGTGTACTAATATTCTGCAGAAAGTCATCTTGAGTGAGAAACGTGGCCAAGTCCTGAACGAGGAGACATGAGGGGCAGGCCCCGTGTGTTGATAGGTACCAGCATGTGGGAGTCCAACAGGTAATCCACGGTTACTCTCCATACCCTCAAGCTGTGTGGTGCAGGTGACATCGCAGTTTCAAGGGCTTTCTAGAGTGTTTGTGAATACCCGTGCTCCTGTGTTGAATACCGATGCCAGCAGTGCAGTTTGAAAAGGACAAAGTGTCATCTTCACCTTATTCCCCTCCCTCCATTTCACCCTCCCTCGCTCTCGTTCCCGATTCTCGCTTCTTCCAGTGATCTAAGCTACACTTTGCTAACCGGCAACATTCCTACCGCCAGCACTGAAATGCAAAGTCTCCTTTGCCTGTAATCCTGACTTGGCAAATACAAGATGGGACCTTATGCGTCCTGGGAACAAAATGCATGTGTAGCGTGTGCAGAACAGCCCTGAAAACTTTGCGCGCATGTCAAAAATCGAAAGGCGTCTCTCCTCTTTTCTTCCTTGAATGTCAAGGCCAGCCCTAGTTGCATGACTTTAATGTTCTTCATGCCTCTCACTCACCCTTTCTCACTGCATGGTCTCATTTGCCCCTTGCATCTCTTCTCCTGCTAATCGCACCTCTCCCCGTGACCATCCTCCCATGGTTCATCCTTGCTGCGCCATGCCACAATGCACCCTAACACATGCCACCATGCAACATTCCATTTGCCACCATGCACATCACCATGCATGGTCAACCCTCACGCAGTGACCTTCGCATACCAACACTCACGGGCTCCGTCCCGGCCTCCATGGGCGCAATGCTCAATCTGCAGTACCTGTCAGTCACCCCTCTCTTCCTCTCCAACCCTCTTTTCCGCATCTCATTCACACATGGCCTCAGGTCCTCGGTACGGCCTGTCCTCTAAACTCCTCCCTACGGTGATTGCCACTCTTGCCTCACCACGAAGCTGCATCGTCCCCGCTGCTGCTCCTCTTGATAGCTTTGACATCCAGCCTCTGCTTAGCCCCTGCTTGCCGTGTCATGTTCCCCATCACAGAAGACCTAAACCTACTATCTTTCCAAATCCTTCCCCGGCGGCTCCTGCCGCCCACCTCCTCCTTCTGCTTGGTCTTTGCTGTCTGGCAGGTATGTCAATCACAATGCAACGCCATGCGGTTACGGGAAGTGCGAGGTGGTGCAGTACTCCGGCACAGCCTTCTGCCGTGCCTGCTCTGACCTCTGCGACACGTGCTCTCGTGCAGGTAAGACAGAGGGTGAAGGGAGGTTTTGAGTTACTATGTTGCACTCATTTTCACCTTCCGTGCGATTGAGAGGGTGAGAAAAGAGGAACAGGGAAGCATGAGGATAAAGTGACGGAAGGGAGGTGGGTAGGAGGTAGGGGGACAGTGCGGATGCGAGGTTGTTTGAGGAATGTTTTGTGAGGCACCGTATCTGTCTCCACACACGGCACTTAAGCTCGTGTGAGTTGAGGTTAATAAATGAATGTGGCGGAGAGAGCATGGTTGGGGGAGACAGCATGGTTGGGGGAGACAGCATGGTTGGGGGAGACAGCATGGTTGGGGGAGACAGCATGGTTGGGGGAGAGAACATGGTTGGGGGAGAGAACATGGTTGGGGGAGAGAACATGGTTGGGGGAGAGAACATGGTTGGGGGAGAGAACATGGTTGGGGGAGAGAACATGGTTGGCAGAGAGAATGAAGGGTGAGATGGAGGGTCAGCACAGAGTACGATCCATGAAGTGTGCATGCTTTGCTCACACCCACGTGCTTGCACCCGCGTGCTTGCACCACGTGGTTGTCTGTGTGTGTGTGTGTGTGGTGGGGGAGGGGGGGGGGAAGGGTTGTCTGTTTCTGTGTGTGCGTGCGTGCATGCGTGCGTCTGTCTGTGTGTCTGTGTGCGTGCTTGTCCGTGAATGTGCTTGAGAGTATCACTCAGGTACACACACACATACACACCCTCATGCATCCAATCACATCACACCCACCTTGTTCTCCCCTCCTCCTGCCCTGTTTACAGCCCCCAACCCTCCAAAGTGCCGGAAGAAGCGCCGTACCTGCTCTCTCAAGTCCTGCCCGGGCCGCATCTGCATTCCCTTCGTCCGCAGCTGCAAGGGCTACAAGTGCATTTGACTCACATGCATCCACGTGTGCTATGCATGCTTTTTCCCTAACACATGCCACCATGCACCCTAACACATGCCACCATGCACCCTAACACATGCCACCATGCACCCTAACACATGCCACCATGCACCCTAACACATGCCACCATGCACCCTAACACATGCCACCATGCAACATTCCATTTGCCACCATGCACATCACCATGGATGGTCAACCCTCACGCAGTGACCTTCGCATACCAACACTCACGGGTTCCGTCCCGGCCTCCATGGGCGCCATGCTCAATCTGCAGTACCTGTCAGCCGCCCCTCTCTTCCTCCCCTTCAACCCTCGTTTCCGCATCTCATTCACACATGGCCTCAGGTCCTCGGTACGGTCTGTCCTCTAAACTCCTCCCTACGGTGATTGCCACTCTTGCCTCACCACGAAGCTGCATCGTCCCCGCTGCTGCTCCTCTTGATAGCTTCGACATCCAGCCTCTGCTTAGCCCCTGCTTGCCGTGTCATGTTCCCCATCACAGAAGACCTAAACCTACTATCTTCCCAAACCCTTCCCCGCCGGCTCCTGCCGCCTGCCTACTCCCCCCTTTCCTCCTGCTGCTTGGTCTTCACTGTCTGGCAGTTATGTCAATCACAATGCAACGCCATGCGGTTACGGGAAGTGTGAGGTGGTGCAGCACTCCGGCACAGCCTTCTGCCGTGCCTGTTCTGACTTCTGTGACACGTGCTCTCGTGCAGGTAAGACAGAGGGTGAAGGGAGGTTTTGAGTTACTATGTTGCACTCATTTTCACCTTCTGTGCGATTGAGAGGGTGAGAAAAGAGGAACAGGGAAGCATATGAGGATATAGTGACGTAAGGGAGGTGGGTAGGAGGGAGGGGGACAGTGCGGATGCGAGGTTGTTTGAGGAATGTTTTGTGAGGCACCGTATCTGTCTCCACACACGGCACTTAAGCTCGTGTGAGTTGAGGTTAATAAATGAATGTGGCGGAGAGAGCATGGTTGGGGGAGACAGCATGGTTGGGGGAGACAGCATGGTTGGGGGAGACAGCATGGTTGGGGGAGAGAACATGGTTGGGGGAGAGAACATGGTTGGGGGAGAGAACATGGTTGGGGGAGAGAACATGGTTGGGGGAGAGAACATGCTTGAGGGTACGCCGCTTCTGCTGCCATGTTCGATTTGTTGAGGAAGGAGATGGCCTGGGAGCGTTGCAGCATCACCGACCAGCGCTGCCGATAGTGTGCGTTGAGCCTGGATGCTGTGGTAGTGAGCGGCCCCTGTCTTTTTTTTTTGCTTAGCAGTTGCCACGGCCAGCAGACGGAGGAACTGGACCGTGTCTGCCGCCAGTGCCCCATACGTTTCGACTGCCATTCCCAGGAACCCCACGTAGTCCGGGCGGCTCTCGTAGAGGCGGTGTTTCCTCTCAGAAGCCTCTTTGGCTGCCCACCCTGGCGACTTCCGAACCCTTGGGTCCCGCTTCTGAAGCACCGGGTCCGTTACAGTGACATCGGTGACCCAGGTTTCTGCAGATTCCTGGTCCTGGAAGGCCAAGTCCGCGCGTTTGCGGAGGACAGGGGGTGAGAAAGCCGCGGTCTCGTGGAAAGTGTTGAACCCCGCCTCCCGTGCCATTCGCAGGGCCGCATAAACCAAAGCGTTGTGTGTCCGTACCACATCCTCTCCCTCTCCACACCGTAGCAGGTGGTTAGCTAGGCTCGTGTCGTCGATGTCGGAGTTGTCCCTCTTGCAGGGGCACTTGACTGTAACTGGCATAGCCATACCGAGGCGGAACCCAAGTGCTAACGAGAACTGACCAGGGGCAAATGTAAGGTCAGATCTCGTTGGCACCGCGTGAAGCCAATCCCCCGCCCCCACTCCCTTCAAACTGACTAGCCTGACCCCATGCCCTTGATCCTCTCCCGGCCGATCCATTATCGTGTCTGCTAGCAGCTCTCTTGCCCTAACCGTGTTGATGTGCTTGGAGAGTAGCAGCTGCAAGTTCCCTTGCCCCTGTGGCCCTTCCCTGTGCGTGCGTGCGTGCATGCGTGCGTGCGTGCGTGCGTGCATGCGTGCGTGCGTGCGTCCGTGCGTGCGTGCGTGTGTGTGTGCGTGCTTGTCCTTGAACGTGCTCGAGAGTTTCACGCATGTACACACACACACATACACAGCCTCGTGCATCCAATCACATCACTCTCACCTTGTCCTCCCCTCCTCCTGCCCTGCCAACAGCCCCCAACCCTCCAAAGTGCCAGAAGAAGCGTCGTGCCTGCTCTCTCAAGTCTTGCCCAGGCCGCATCTGCATTCCCTTCGTCCGAAGCTGCAAGGGCTACAAGTGCATCTAACTCATACAAGGGCTACAATTGCATGTGACTCACATGCATCCACGCCCATGTCTATGTGTGCTACGCGTGCTCTTTCCTAGTTTTCTGTATTTTCTTAGCTAGAGCCCCTGCGAGCTAGTTCTAATTTCCCGTTTTTGGAATGAGGGAAGTTATCAAATACGGTGATGTGTTTTTGCTCCCTAGTGACCCTGTTCGTCTATTAAAGCGATATCTAGTTTATCGTTCTCCATTTTCCAGATACCGGTATGGAATGTAGTGAGGCTGTAGGTTTAGGTTTCAGAATATTGTTAAATGCTGGCAGCACCGCAACCACAATGATGCCACCGTCGCGGAGCTTGTGCTTGACTACGACCCGGAGTGGGACGTATTGGACCCTCGTTATGCATTTGCCCCTAACCCCTACACTGGCTTAACTCGTAAAAACAAATAGGTGTCTTATAATGAGGCTAACCTGTTTATAAGAGGCACCCGGATAATAGACAAACCTGTCAAGTATTCTAGCCATTAGTGGGTTGTGCAGTAGGGGGTACAAACAGTTAGAGGTAGGAATATGTACCACAATCCATCCAATGCAACTCATTTCGCTGTAGCCACTTACTGAGATGGTATCAGCTAGGTTCCTCGCTCCTAGGCCCTATGTTTAGGGTTTAGTTCCTTCCCTAGCTCGCCAGACACGCCAGCGCGCTAGCGCGCTAAGCCCTAAGCCGCCAGCCAGCCAGCCAGCTACCCCCTAACGCGCCACGACGCCGGTCGACCTGCAGCGCGGCCCGTCCCCTAGCCACCGCGCCACCCGCCCGTAGGCCCGCGCGTCGCGCCGCCCGTAGGCCCGCGCGTCGCGTCGCTTAGCCGCGCAGCCCGGCCGTAGGCCCGCCCGTCGCCTCGCCCGCCCGTAGGCCTGCCCGTCGCCTATCCCGCCCGTAGGCCCGCCCGTCGCCTAGCCCGCCCGTAGGCCCGCCCGTCGCCTAGCCCGCCCGTCGGCCCGCCCGTCGCCTCGCCGCACAGCCCGCCCGTCGACCCGCTGCGCCGCCCGTAGGCCCGCGCGCCGCGTCGCCTGCCCGTCGACCAGCTGCGCAGCCCGCCCGTCGACCCGCCGCGCCGCCCGTAGGCCTGCGCGCCGCGTCGCCCGCCCGTCAACCAGCTGCGCAGCCCGCCCGTCGACCCGCCGCGCCGCCCGCCACCCAGTACGCCGTGCCGCACGCCCCATAGCGCGCCGCGCCGCCCACCATTCAGCGCACTGCGCCGCCCACCAGCCAGCGCACTGCGCCGCCCACCTACCCACCTGCATGCCTCCCCGCCTGCCCACACGTTACTGACTGTCTCCCCCCTCCCGCGGCTGGCAGCCGCGCTCTCTCAGTTTCGCCCCCTATGGCGACCTCCCGAGTACTTCGTTTTGACCCTGAGGGGAGACCTATTGACTTTAGTACGTGGCTTACGCAGGCGCAGCGCCACCTTAAGAGCCAGTGGCAGGATGGCGTGCACCTGTTCGCACACGCGTCCGGCACTCTGACCGCCCCTCTGCAGCCTCGGCCGCTGCCCACTACCCCACTGCCTACTTCTGAGCAGGAGGCCGACTACCAGCGCCAGCTCCTCGCTCGTGACGTGTGGGAGTCTCTTGACGCCGCTGCCTGCCTCGCCCTGACCGACCTTCTCCCCCCGACAGAGGCAGTCCACTTCGCTCAGGTCAAGTCTGCTGCAGATCTGTATAACGCTATTGTTGCTCGCTACTCCACTCCCTCCTCTGCTTCGCTCAGTCGCCTCCTCGTACCCTTTATCTACCCTGACCTCGCCTCCTTTGAGACTGTCTCTGACCTCGCTACCCACCTGCGCTCTCTTGACGCTCGCTTTCGCGCTGCTTGCACTGAGGACCAGCTTGCCCTTGCCCCGCCCCCTATGTGGCTCACTATTCACTGGCTAGTCACTCGCCTCCTTGACCGCCTCGCCACAGCCCGTGACGCGCTTCTTCTGAAGCACCCTGTGAGAGTACGACGGCTTATGCTGGCTTTGCTAGCATGCCTAGACTTTATTACGCTATATCTAGCTTGGGTTTTATTTATCATGCATAGATATGCTTGATTTCCTAGGTTAGGTGCATTCCTATATATTATTATAGTTATAGCACCGAACCAGGTTACGTGCACCGAACTCAAGCTATTCGGTCGCCACCGAATTGCTTTCTACCGAGTTCGGGAAGGTTCTGTTCGGGACGCTTCGCGACCCTCAGAACATTTGCATAACACCTGAGCTACCTGCCTTGTGTCGAGCCTATATATAGCCTCATGTTGTACCCAGGTGATCATTCAATTCAAACTCTCTTTTCTGAGCTCGATCCTAGATCCTCACACTTGGTATCAGAGCCTGTTCGAAGCGAAGTTTTTCTACCGCTAAAACCTAGATTTTAAAACCGCGGGGGCGACGACGGAAAGCGCCGATTTCGGGTACGTAAACCAGTTCCGCGCTTTTTTCTAACGTCCCCCTCGAACCGGTTTTCGAACACTCCTCAGGTCCAGTGGCGAAAAAGTTGGAATTTCGACCGTCGGATCGATTCGAATCTCAACGGCCCTGAGAATTTCGACCAAAAGGGTTGGAATTTGGAGCGTCGGATCGAATTTCTTCTCAACGGCCGAGATCGGACGCGAATTTCAACTAAGGGAGAATTACGCGACCTACAGAATCAGCGCTCGTCAATTCTACAGTCGATTCGACTCACAGTAAGATGACCAGCGCCTAGAATTCAATTATTTTCGTCGCACATTTTCCTGTAAATCACCAAATGGAGGAAAACGGTGATAATTCGGTACGAAAAATTACGGAGTTACACACCGGCCTGGACTAGACGCGAGCGGCACTCCAGGGAATAGAGAAGCTTCTCGCGAACCTGTTGGTAGCCGCCACAGCAGCAGCGAACGTAGCAGCGAATGCAGCAGCGACGCCAGCAGCAGCAGCAGCGACACTGACACTTCACCCAGCAGCAGCGGCAGCAGCTACAGTGAATCTTGAGGCGGCACGTCTGAGGCTACCGGAGACATTCAATCCGAATGCTAGAGACACCGACGTCCGTCGATTCGTTGCGACCCTCGAAATTTACTTCGAGTCCGTTGGCTTTACGACCCCGACACACGATGCAATGCGGATTCGGTTCGCAGCGACACTGTTACGAGGCCCGGCGCTCGAGTGGATTTACAACAACGATAAGATCCGAGGCGAGGGGTCATGGACGCAGTTTCGGGAAGCTTTAATTCAACGTTTCGAACCAATCAACTCCAGCTACATGGCGCGGCAGCAGATTCATCGGCATAAACAGTTCGGCAGTGTAACATAGTACACGTAGCAGATGGAGAGCCTCTTCAACCGAATTACCGACCTGACCGAAGGGGAAAAAATCCAAGCGTATACTGAGGGGCTAAAGATGGAGGTCCACCGACAAGTGA